GAGCTAACAATGTCCCCCATGGGGAAGAAGCCCTGTCACTCTTTGGATTTGGCATAGCCATTCCTGGGACATCGTTGATTAGCATGCCAAGGATGATGCAGCTCGTGGATGGCCGGGTCTGTGACAACGAGTATATCCGTACATTACCTTATCGTACAAAAGATGTGTGTTGATCCGCCGAGTCGGCACGGGCCTGAGTTAGCAGCTTTGCCACCCGAACAGAGTAGGTTTTCGCCGGAAATCCGGCGATTCTTCGCCTTTTTGGGACAGCTGAAGGCCGGGCCCCGACTACTCCGCTCTGCAACTGACATTCAAACTCCACCTCGTCAATCCATGCTAGGCCATCAAACACCAGACTAAAGACACTGGCGTCATCTCTGACCTTTCTTGAGACGTTAGATCCAACGAAGAATCCGGCAAGGAAGTAAGATGGCTTGACTTTGGTCTGTCATCCGGATGTACCGCATGCGGGGGCCTATCATGCAGCTGCACTAGTGGTAACCCATGGAATCTAACCTAGCAAGGCTCATGACGGCCCAGCTGGGTCAAATTACTTACTATCGTAAATCGCAAGGAAGAGAGCCTAGAAAACAACACTCTCGAGCCAAGTTTAGGCATATTTCAGTTTCCGATAATTGTCCGTTAGACCGAGCCATCGGGATGTCCCAGTCTGGCCAGCAACATCGCCGCGAATGACTACATGTAGAAGCCAACGAGAAGGGGGTGCCTGATGAGAAGAGAACATCGAATCTTGTCTACACCAGGATGATTAGTATTCCATGGACTCTCTACTATACTCTTAAAGCTAGGCAGAAGGCGACAGGGTAGTCCGGCCTGAATCCGCCTCGCAACCACTTCAAACCGGTTCAATCTCAATCTCAATAAGTTGGATGATAACATGCGAGTTTTGAAGTCTCCAAGCATCATTCATAACGCGAAAAACTCGAAGGCGATTTTTTATGCAAAATTTAGTTGCCAAGATGGATAAAAACTGCTACCAATATTTCCTTGACACATATAAGATGGCTCTTATGAATAATGTCAAAAGTTGACGATTGAAGAAGTTGAAATTTAGCATGTATGACTGCTGAGTGAAGACGTCTTGTAGTGTTTGAGAAAAGATTCTGACATATTTCGAAAGACTGCAAGGAAATCTACTTTTTTTTTCAATTAAAAAAAATCATGATATGGGTAGCATATTGCCATTTGCAGGCTAATGGACAAAGTCGGATGCGGGATCATGATTGAGGCTTTCACACCAAAGGTGCTTCCATGTTGTCTCCGTAAACTTTGGACGCAGTGACCCGCTACCCATCAATGTCCAAGATTGTAGGTTCACATTGGAAGTTAAAACCATTTCCTACTCGAATAAAAAATCACTTAGGTTTCAACCGCATCTTATCCTCATCTGCCACTGCATCTCTCATTCTTTCTGCTTCCGTTGACTGTCATTCCCGACCTCTCCTCCAAGGCAAATTTCGAGCAATAGAGCCTAAGATGCCTAAGCCAAGTATGCCTAAACCCAGTATTCCTTCGGCTTCATCCAAGGTGACAGTTCTTTTCGACCTCGATGGCACCTTGTTCGACCACTACCACTCACTAAGCTGTGGTATCTCAGCAATTCGCCAGAATTATTCTGCCCTCGCGACTTTCAACTTTACGGATCTCATTACTCAGTACAACACATCGCTTCAATTAGCCTACGACGAGTATCTCCGAAAGATCATAACGTATAACGAAATTGATTACAGGAAGATCCGGTTGTTTTTCCAGGGTTTAGGTCTCAATGTACCAGACGACGCAGGTATTGCGGAATTCCGGGACGTCTATAGACCGGCTTATCGTGACAACCGAAGAGCAACGATTGGAAGTATCGTTACACTGGTGTGGCTCCGAAAGCAAGGCGTCAATCTGGCTATTATTACGAATGGTCAAGCAAAAGACCAATTAGAGAAGGCGAAAGCTATTGGGGTGCATAACCTTGTGGATTACATGATCACCTCAGAGGAAGCAGGTTGCTATAAGCCAGACAAGGTTATCTTTCAACTTGCCATTGATGCTTTGGGCTGTTGTCTCAGCGAAACTTACATGGTTGGTGATTCTGTAAGGTCCGACATTATAGGGGCGCTTGGTAGCGGTATAAATGCCATCCTCTTTCCGCCAATTTCAACGGATAGCCACCAAACAGTCAGTGGAAAGACTGTACCTATTATTCGCGACATGTCTCAACTCATCAAGATTCTTGAGATATCTTCAGGGATGCTTGATCCGTGAGTGGCTTTAATACGCCGTGGGCGCGGATTGCTGGTGGAGACTCGGTAATGAATCGGGGGGGGGGGGGGGGGTTATTGTGGTGTGCAATTGGAAGACTGCAATGAGGGTTTACTTCAGACTCTGAAGATGCAATCACTTCCGAAGAGATCTTATAAGTAATAGAAACTTGTATATAACCGTTTCCTAATTATGTAGGGTAGAGAGTGTCATATTGGTATAGCTGCTGCATCCTATCAAACAACAAGCTGAAATCACTCCAACTTCCTCCGCCAGATCTTGACCGGCAAAGCCCCGCAGATAATGTTGAAAGCCTCATGCCTCTCCAATACAAAGTCAGGAGAGGGCAGAGCGAATTCATACCTGTGAACAAGTGAAGCCAGAACCATGATCTGTTCTAAGTACGAAATGTTCCTTCCTATGCAACCCCTGGCTCCAGTCGAGAATGGAATGTAATAGGGCTCCATCCGCTTCCTCTCTTCAGGGTCAAGCCATCTCTCAGGCTTGAACACCTCGGGGTCCGGGAATACCTTGGGGTCCCTATGAGCGCCATATATTGTCATCGATACACTTATGTCGCCAGGAATCCACTCGTCCAGAATTCGAGCACCCTCTGGTGGTGTGCGGCGAGGAAGAGGCGCGGAGGTTGGCGGAATGATACGAAGAGCTTCGTCGATGCAAGCACGCAGGAACGGAAGATCTTTGACTTTGTCATAAGGAGCAATGACCTCGTCAGAGTCCAACACGCTGTCAATCTCTTCACGAAGCTTCTTCAAATGATTTGGGTGCTTGATCAAAAGCTCCAGGATGTGCGTCAAGGCGATAGCTGTCGTGTCTGATCCAGCATTGATGATGGCGCCGACTTCTGCCACAATTTCACCCCAATCGAGGTTGTTCGAGCTTCCCGTCTTGTCTTCCATCATGCAAGTAAAGAAGTCATCGAGCTGTTCCCCAGCTTGGTATCTGCGCAGTCTATCGGCGGCGGCATGGTAGTAACAATCGTCCCATGGCTCAGATTCCTTCCACATTTTCTGCCATCGACTGGGAACTGTCTTTGACAGCCACTCGACCCATGGCCAAAGATCATAGTCCCAAACAAAAACCGCCTGTGCGATGGCTCCTTGGTTCATGGAGTAACGATATCGGGCTTTGTATGTGGTTCCATCGCGCTTCTCGGCTGTGACGAAGTCTGTTCCGGTATCTAGGAGGTCCATCCGAGTCGAGAGGGTGATATAGTTGATTGCTTCGATGGTCCAGAGGTTGATCCAGTGATTGAAATCTATAGTGAGGTCCTCAGGACGAGGGATGGTGCCCTTGAGAGGGTCGGTGCATTTTCCGTCAAAGGCTTTGAAAAGTCTTTCAGCCGTATAAGCGACCTTGTACTCCCACTTCTCAAGGTTTTTAATAGCAAAGGCTGCAGAAAGTAGCTTGCGTTTGCGGGCATGTTCGGGCTTGTCCACTACATCAAAGAGGTGGCGATGCGTCCCACTCAAGACAACGTAATTGTTATCTTTGACGCACTTGGTGCTATGTCCGTAGATATCTTTTATAGCTCTAGTATCTCCAAAAGACAGTGCGTTGGGGCCTGTTCTCAAGATAGGAAAACCGGTGTTCTTGTGTGTTTCGTATAGTTCCTTAGATCTGAACCCTTGGGCGCTGAGATAGCAGTGCCTGAGGTCCGTCAATGGTGACAGGGGCGAGTAGTTGGGGTATTTTCGAAGGCCCTTGGGGTCGTAAAAGTACAAGATGATGGGTCGAATGACGAGATAGGAAAGGACTGCGAAGGCAATACCTGCCAGCGCGAGAAGGCCGAGCATGGTGGAAGTCAGACCAAGTGTGTGTAAAGGCTAGTACTCTTAAGTCGCTGATGAGATGTTCGTTGATTTTCTGACCACCTCGACTGATCCTCGTGGGATGTTAATGAAGCGTCTTATATCTCACCGTCAATGACTTTGAGGTCAAAAATTGGCCCGAATCGTCTGTAGTTGCTACATACCGAGGCTCGCTGCGGTCACACCACAGCCAAATCGAGTCTTTCGTTCCGCGGGGTACGTAGAGCGCTGGATCAACGGTAGAGGTAAGATACTACAGAGGATGATGCAAATGGCAACTCAGTCCGCAATGACACACGCCAAATACGAGCCGTGGAGTGCGCGGATGTTAGAGATAGTGTGGAAGTGGGGGTGAAGCCATCTCTCGAAGGAGAAAAATATCGCCGTAAGCTCGGTGTTGCGGATTATCGAACCATCTCGAGATATCTTTCGGCGAAACATTCCCTAATCTAGGTGTGCGACGATCAAGTTTGAATGTTGGCAGCGCCCAGTCGATGCAATGCCTTTCGACTGACCCCCCCGCATGCGGGGTTGCACTTTCACCCCGTGGGGAAGCAAACAGCATCTCAATATCTCCAGGGCTGGGTGGGTGTCAAAGGTTCAAGGATAACAAGGGGCAAGTGTGTAAACCACAGAATCGGCGAAATTATCCCATTGTGTCAGGAAGTACATGTTTGAAGCCAGTCAAGCTGAGTTTCTTGCGGTGGTCAGCTTGGCGTCAGTCTTCGGTATTCGGGAACTCATGCTCACACTCCGTTTTCGACATTGAGCTGTTATTAGTTGAAAATGCTCATCATCTAAAACGCACAAAGAGACACTGTTCTTGGGTGTCCATCCACAACACCAGACTTTTCCCTCGTTCATTTCAGCCCAACCCATCTAACTTCATCGCCCAGTATGGAGGCTTACTTTGGAATGAACAACACCCAGAATCGCTTTTTTGCTGACGCTATCAATCCTGTCTCCAAGAAGAGTAGCTATGACGATATTATTCTCTTACCTTTGGTTGTCCTAGGCTCCCTGTACGTCTTCAACAAAGGAAGCCTTTTGCCCAGGAGAGACCCATTTCGCTACAAGTGGTTTGAGAAACCACAACTGCACCGAACGCAAAATCTCGTTAATAAGAAGAAGACACGCAACATTTCGGAAAAGATCGAAGAGCTTCGATCTGATATTGTCATATTTTGGGGCTCCCAGTCCGGCACCGCAGAGGCCTTTGCCCACCGCCTTGCTCGAGACTTCCACCAAAGATTCAAGCTCAACGCTCTAGTAGCGGACCTGTCCGACTATGACCCAGAGACCGTTTCGCTTATCCCGGGGTCCAAGTTGGCTGTGTTCATCATGTCGACCTACGGCGAGGGCGACCCGAGCGACAATGCTCAAGACTTTGTCAACTGGGCTGTCGCAGCCACCGGTGTCTCCCTCGCCCACCTCAACTACGCCGCTTTCGGGTGCGGCAACAGCAATTACCGCTTATACAACAAAGTCATCGATGATGTCGCCGTTGCCTTGTCCAAATTCAGTGCCATCGCGGTTTTGCCCACTGGCAAAGGCAATGAAGCTACCCGAACGACAGAGGAAGACTTTATGGACTGGAAAGAGAGCCTTTTCAAGATTCTGGTCTCCAATTTCGACTACAAGGAGCATGAAATAGCATACGGGCCCAGCGTAGGCATCGTTCATAGCGATAGCAATGACTTGCATGTTGGCGAGCCGTTTCACAAACCGCACTCTAGAAAAGCGACCACACTCCAATCTCCTATTGCTTTCCTTCCGGTCAAGAACAAGCGAGAACTCGCGAGATACGATCAGCGAGGCCGCAGTTGCATTGATCTCGAAGTGGATCTCACTGCCCGCCCCGAAATCAAGTACAAGACTGGGGATCACATCGCTATCTGGCCCGTGAACCCAGATGAGGAAATTGGCATTCTTATTCGCAGTCTCGGACTCCAGTCTCGGCAAACGGAAGCTATCTGCGTTGTTCCCCAGTCGGCAGACGAGGAGCCAAAGGTTCCCAGCCCGACAACGGTGCAGGCTTTGTTCCGGCATTATCTGGAGATCTGCGCCGCAGTTCCTCGCGAGACAGTTTTATCGTTGGCTCAATTCGCACCCAGTCAAATGGTAAAGACGGAGCTGATGACAATCGGTAACGACAGGGAGGTTTACTCCAAGTTTCTCGAAGCAAACCATTTGACCCTGGCCCGACTTCTCGAGTACACCATCGCCGTCGATCCGGCGGTCACATGGGCTGGTCTACCACTCACATTTATCATCGACTTCCTGCCTGCCATGCAGCCACGTCTCTATTCTATCTCTACTTCACGGATCACATCGCCCCGGAGTGTGGGCCTGACTGTGTCAGTCAAGCCGTCGCAGTTACTTGCGAATCAAGATGTCACCATTCCTGGACTCACGAGCACATTCTTATGTGGAATCCAACCTAAAAACCCTTCTTCGTCAGAGAAGACATCAATGCACTCATGCTGTGTTCATGCTCAGATTCGTGGCTCAACATTTAAGCTACCGTTCCTTTCATCCGTCCCTCTGATCATGGTGGCAGCCGGTACTGGGGTTGCCCCCTTCCGCGCATTCATCCAAGAGCGTGCTAGACTTGCTTCAGTAGGCAAGGATGTCGGCCGAATGATGTTGTTTTTTGGATGTCAGAACGAGAGCGACTATCTCTACCGTGACGAGTTTGCCGGGTGGATGACCGGACCTCTCGCCAACAAGCTAGAGATCGTAACAGCATTTTCAAGAGCAGGCAGTGAGAAGTGCTACGTTCAGAACAAAGTGGAAGCAAGAGGTAATGATGTTGGGAGAATGCTGCTGGAAGATGATGCCGCTTTCTACATCTGCGGTGCAGCGAACATGGCGAAAGCTGTTGGCATGGCGGTCCAGAGCGTTTTGAAACAAGAGAATGGCTGGGAAGCATCACAGGTGGAGAGCTGGAGACAGAACAGGAAGAAGTCCAAGAGATGGTTTGAGGATGTTTGGAGTTAGAACCCCAGAAGTGATCCGATAAAGGTTCCTGGGGTTCAAGTTTGCTGCTTACAGTCAACATTGGGTCGTTAAACTTCGGTCTGAGCAATTTTCAAAAACGACTTGTGCTCCTTTGCTCTGCTCACTCATAATGAATTTGATACGCTGGTGCTGGTGTATTCTGATCTGTTGCACAATAATGACGGCTTGCAAGCTCGTCCTCTGTTGCTGTATGTGGTCCTGCTGATCTTCCCGGTCTCATATCTCCTCGTCTTATGTGTCCTGAAACACCTTGATCGTTATCCATGGTGGCGGATGATCGGGTATTTGCTCTTGATCAATCCAAGCCTATGCCGCTTCATTCAGTGTCGATGTTGATGCATGTCTCGACCTTGATGAAACCAAGCCCACTCATTTTCGACAGCTCCCCGTTAACATGAGTCATGTCGAACGAATCATCCTCAAAGAAGTCATGAGGAAGATGAGATGAGGGATCGTATTCTTCCATGATCTTGATAGCCTCATTGACAACGTCATACCCAAAGTTGAAAGCCAAGTTTTCTTGCGGGTTTTCTGCAAAAGTGTTAGCATTAGAGTCGTTTTTTTTTTTTCTTTTTCATCTTCACAGGTTACAGCAGTAACTTACTCGGTATCTCATCCGCTGCGACGAACTCCAAAAGGTCCTTCTCTACGAGACTTGACTGGTCGGTTCCGACGTTGCTAAGAATCTGAATCGCACTGGCGCGGTTTCGACGGATCTTCTCAAAGAGCTCTAATCTCTTCTCGAGATCAGAGCTATCAGACACACCGGCAAACACAACACCCAGAGCCAGGCCGTCTTCGAGACCCATGGCACCGCCTTGCCCTTGATCTGCGCACAGACGATATATCAGCGACTAAATCAACGAGCATACACCAGTTCTTACGGTGTAGCACTCACGAGGTAGCATTGGATGCGCCGCATCGCCGGTTATGACCATCTTCCCTTTCCGCCAGGTCGGTAGCGGAGCACGGTACAACAGTGGCCATCGCTTGATCTCAGTTGCTTTGCTGATTGTGAAGTTAGCCATGGGTGGCCCGCGCCTATCTTTGACGCGACATACTTGATAATAGCCAGGAGACTTGGGTGGAACCCAGCGAACTTTTCAATTACTTGCGTTTTGTCGACATCGGCTTGATAATCTAACGTCACGGTATAAGTAAGCCTCATCAACTCCCAGACTGTCTCTAGAGTGATAAACAAACCTTCAGTAGAAGGATTCTTCATCTCTTCATCGTAAAAAATACCCACAAAGTTGTGGATGGTGTTGCTAACAGGTCAGATAAATTCCATCTGCCAAGGGCACAATACACTTACTTGCGGCATGGGTATGATACTAGCCTCCTGTTGGTCTTGTTGTCGGGGAAGAGACGGATAAGTCCATTGGCGTCCTTGTTCCAAAATTTGGTCTCAGAATCTTCCTCGAGAACTTCGGCGGGAACCAAGAACCGGTAGCAGCAGTTATGAAGAAGAGGCGCCACGGCAGGATTCTCGTGGCCGAGAACAGTCTGAGCGGCAATAGAATGAATTCCATCTGCACCAACGACCAGGTCGCACTCAATCTGATCACCATCTTGGAGGTGCACAGCCGGCAACTCAGGTTTCTGTACAATGATCAGTAAAGAGAGCAACCATTGAGGTGGAAATGGTGGCAGGGATCTTCCCCGCACTCACGTATCCCACAACCCACGAGTTGGGATGGATGGTGACGGGAACGCCCGGGCCTGCAGGATCGGTCGCTATCCTCTTGAGGCTATCGTGCAGATCCACGCGGTGGGCGTACCAGAGATCGGCGTCGTAGAATTCCTCGTTGTCGGCGTGCGATAGCGTCGACGTGATCTCCATCGTGACGGGATCCTGGAAATGGACTGGCCCGGCCTTGACGAAGCCGGAAGCCTCGGGGTCGAGACCCCATCGTGTGAGAAACCGCGTCGCGTTGGGAGGGACGTTGATGGCGGCGCCGACCTCATTGTCCATATCGGATCGCTCGTAGATGCGCACAACGTGGCCCGCACGGCGTAGCGAGATGCCGGCCGAGAGGCCGGCGATGCCTGCTCCGACAATGACTACGTCCAGCATGGTACTAGTCGCGTTCAGACGAACAGGAAAGGCAAGTTTCTGTGTTCGGTATCACGTCTCACTGTAGAATCGCTGATATCGTCTGGAAGATGTCACGTTGACGAAGGAAGAAGCCAAGAAAGAAACCCGTCAGCTTCGGTCTCAGCAGGAGAACCAACACGGGGCCAGACAGCCGTTGCATTCGCCTGTATCTGACAGGGACCATGTAGGGTTACGACCGCCCTCTCTCCGCCAAGAGGACCGCGATCTGCGGCGCAACCCGCTCTTTGATGGAGACATAACCCTGTGATCGGGACTCAACGGCGGTACTACGCGAAGCCATTGGACGGTGACCGACAGAGAGGAGTCTTCGCCATCAACCTGAGGATACTGCCGGGGTCCGTGCCAAGGGGGAGCGAGACGATTGAGAAAACAACAGTTGTCTCGATTCACATATCTTGATATGTAATCTCGTTCATTTGGAGTTTCCGAAACGCACTTGGCAATTTGGAGAAGGTGGGCAAAGGTTGAGGACATGCTTGGAGGCAACTCCAATTTCGTTGACTTCCTAGGTTGAAACTTTACCTGCCTACTAGTACCGCAGTATTCCAAGCCCTACCCCCTTCACTATGTACACGTCCCGAAGGGGCGACTTCCTGGTACAGGCCAGCACAGTGACCCAAAACGAGACCGAATTCTCTTTCCGTATTTCTATGGTATTGAGGAACTCAGAAGCTGTGGCAACTCGTTCTCGCTTCTCCGAACTGGTATACGAATAGAGCCAAACGGAGCACTACCACAGGTGAGCTCCAACGTCGCGGAGAAGGACAGGGCTCGTCAAATTAGTCCCACCGTGGCAACGCGTCGGAGTCCGTCCCTTGGTCCGCTATTGGACCAGACTGTCATGAATGGATACCACCTGCAGGTGCCCTTGTCGAAAACCGTTGTGCCGAACCCATGTCGGAGAAAATTTGATTCACTGAGAGGGCCATGTGGGAGGCGGTTTCATATCCAATGAGATAGCAGTTTTCAGTTTGATCTTTTCGGCAAGGCAATAGGCAATTCGGGTATTATCTGACAGCGGCATTCTCGCCAGCGCCAAGACGTGTCCAATTTGAGGTGCCTTGGTTGATTGACAGGACTAGGAAACTCAAATTACAACTAGATACTTGATAAGACAGTGAGGCCGAGATTACAGGAAACACGAAATGGAGTGCGGCATCCGAAAAGCGTTGGAAGGAATGTTGCGTGCCGGTCGGCGGCCCGCACCCTAGTTCAGCCACCTGCAAGCACAAAGTGAATCTTTTTGTGGTAGCACAAATCACACTATCCGTAAGTGACTATTATTACGGAGGCTATCCCCTCGGTTCCCATTCATCCAGAGGCCGAGCCCGAGACACACCATGGATCAAGATCCGCCTTATAACGTTGTGGCCGTGCACCCTTGCCGTCTCGGCCGGGGAGTTCCGGGCAGCCAAGGGATGGCGGGCCGATCCTTGCCAACACGAGTTGGGTGAGAACTTCAGGAAGTCTGTGCTGTCTGATAAGTCGAGATGAACGGGAGAAGAGACATGGAAACGACAATCAAGCAGCGAGGCTCTGAGACCAACTGGTCACCCTTTTAATGATGAGTGATCTGTAATAGCCCATGAGGTCTGGTAGGTTGAAGGTCTTACCAAACCACTACAGGTATTTTCCCCCATAAAGCCTCGTCAATATGATCATGAAAAAAAAAATGAAAAAGTAGTCACTGCGTGAGGTTACAGTATCACGAAACGAGTGCGATGGATCACCACTGTCGCGTTCCTAATATTCGAGGTTTTCTTCATATGTATTGCGACCATGAGCAATCCGATCTAGGGATACCCGATATTACTTGACATTGCTCAAGCATGACTCTGACGACTCTCGTCTGAGTGGCTCAGCTGAGCACTCCGCCTGAACTGATGTTAGTTGCCGTCGGTCTCATCATCAGCATGCGATCACTTGGTGGGACCATTGGGATTTCCATCTATAGCGTTCTCTTCACCAGGGGCATGCGCTACATGGTCGCGAACATCGCCCAAGCAATCCTACCAGCAGGCTTCGCTTCGACGGTAATTATCCTCCGTCTTTTTACCATGGCTCTCATTTCTCAAATCCAGGGCGTAATCACCCAAGTTCCATGTTTTGATCCGGAAATTCTCTCTTGGGCAACTCATGCCCTTCTCGATACATACGCTTGTGCTTTCAGAAATCTGTGGATCTCGGTAAGTCGTTTCATTGATGTAGCAGCTGTCGGTGAGTACATTCCAAGCTTCGAGATCAGGACCTCAAGAGGAGCCTACTAACTCATGAAAACAAGTCTCGGCCTTTCTGTTTGATCCCGAGAAAAAGCTCAATACACGTAATCATGTTGATGCTCTTTTGGAAGGGAAAGGTAGTGTGTCTGCGGACGAGCGACCTGGATATTGGCGAGAGCTCATTCCATATATCCTTATCAATGATACCTGTTACTACCTCCGCTTGATCTCTCGTTCCTACGTGGAGTTGCAGTGTCATTGGACTTAAGCATAGTGACCCTCTTCCCGGTTCAAATAAAAATCATAGATGCCTGATACAAACTCCCGAAGCTTTAGAATACTGGAAAACGTCTAGGAAGCTTTATTCAAGTCAAAGACTTAATTTTCAAGATTTAGTTCGTATGAAGTGACCAGAGTGAGCTTTCTTGCTTGTGCTTAGCCTTCACGTGTGGTACCTTTTTTGCTTCGCCGGAGCGCCGAAAGCGGAGTCGGGCTTCGGAAGAGAACACCGACGGACGAGGTGCGGGGATTGCGCATCTGCAGATGCCCGGCTAACCTCACGGTTGACTCACTCTTGGCAAGACATCCTGCAGACCTTCTTTGCAATATGATTGGAGACCATCACTGCGAGTCATTGATCATTCATAGGTACCTTACTTGATCATCAGAATCACATCGTCTTGACCTTCGAACTTCAGTTTCGCCTGAACTATCTGACTCTCCGACAAGATGAGTGCGGCTTCAATCGTATCTTCGGCTTTGCACCCGCGAATGGGATGGATCGGTGGGTGCCAACTACTTCTTATTGTCTCTGATCTTAGTGTGCATGTTAACAAGCCAATAAGGTCTCGGATCGATGGGTCTCGGCATGGCCACAAACTTGCAGAATCATCTCAGAACGCACTTTGCTGGCAGCCTCCAGTTTCACAATCGAACAATGTCTCGAGGCGCTCCGCTCGAGAAAGCCGGAGGCGCGCCGCAACCGAACATCATCGACCTTGTCAAAAGCACGGACATTGTATTCATCTCACTCAGCGACGATAAAGCACTCGAGGCGACACTGGACGCGATCCTGGACGACGCAGCCATAGTTGATCTGACAGGTAAGATCATTGTCGACACTTCAACGGTCCACCCCCTGTCGTCTGCAAAGGCGAAAGACAGGCTGGCAGCAAAGGGAGCCCAATTTATTGCTGCGCCGGTGTTCGGGGCGAGCCCAATCGCTGTGCAGGGTAAGCTGCTCTGGATCGTCGCTGGACCCGATGATGCCGTAGAGAAGATCAGGCCGTTCATCGTCGGCGTCATGGGCAGAGGCATCATCCGTCTAGGAGAAGACGTGCAGAAAGCCAGCATCATGAAGACGGCCGGGTGAGTAGAAGACGTTGAACCATCTTACCAGATGTGATGTAACCGTGCTAACCTACCGCAGAAACTTTGTGACCGCGGGAATGATGGAGCTGGTTGCAGAGGCCCAAGTCTTTGCGGAGAAGTCCGGACTCGGCAGCGAGGTAATGGAAGATCTTCTCGGACAACAGTTTGGGCCCTTGGCTCAGGGCATGTCAAAGCGCTTGACGACCGGTGCCTACTTACCGCCTCGTGACGAGAGGCCGTGGTCTGACTTGTCCCTGGCGATGAAGGATGTCGGGCATGGCCTGAGCTGTGCAGAGCAGGCCGGTGTGCGTCTCCATATCGCCGATATTGCTGCTGGGCATCTGAAAGAAGCGAAGAAAATTTCAGATATTCAAGGGCGGGCATTCGATTCTTCGTCATTGTATGGCGTGGTGAGAACGGAAGCCGGACTCGATTTTGAGACAGATCTCGTCAAGAAGAGAGATGGCTCTTCCTGATTGAGATCGTTATATTTTACCATGTACATGTATCGGTACAAAGAAATGTTGAAGTCCTGATTACCATGAATGGCGTTCAATGTTAGCGAGCCGTCAAGCAAAGCTGGGTCCAAGACATTGGAGAAAGTCTACAAAGCTCAGGCGATGTCGATTCAATTCGGTCTTCATAGCCACGCACGCGACGAGGCAATCCGTTCGGCAAAACAGTTTTTCACTCATGAAAGTAGCAAGTTGAGAGGAAGGATATGAAATTTGGAAAACTTGCCTTGATGGGGTTGATTTAGGTGTTGCAGGTGTTTCAGTTGCTGTCGTGGCACTTTGCCATTTAGCGGGAACATCGATCTGGATGAGGGTTCTTGACTCGACTTCGGGTAACAGATTAATGAATGCAGCAGACAGTGGTTGAAGTGATAAGTGTGAAGTGAGAGGTGTACTTCCGTTTTCCACTGGGACTCTGTTGAATACCTATATACTGTAAAATGTATTTGTGGTTGACAGACTATTGGAGGGCATCTACAAATCGGCTGAGGCTCTGACACCATTTCCCATGCATATGGATTTAGTCAAAATGAATCATTTAGCACCATCCATGTATCAGCATCTGCCAATCCGACTTTACGAGAGGCTATTGGGGAAATTTGAGTTGGGTGTACAAGATGAGGGCAAGTGAGCAACTATGAATCATTCACGCCAAGACCCTCATTGGCTGTCGCCCCATCGGCATCTGTCAGCTATCTGCACATCATCTAGAACTTCAGACCAGCCTTCGATTCCGACGAAATTGTACGAGTTGGTACACTTGGGGAACTGCAGATAAAGGTATAGTAGACGTCGGGTTTATGTGAAGCCGCACTCAAGTGTCTTTCATTGTTTTGCGGTGAATGCGTTTGCTAGAGCTAACCTCGGGTTTCTGCCTGCGTAAGTCTGGCACGCACCCTTCTGGTGCATTGACTTTCGGGACCTGGAGTGGTCTTACAAGACGCCTTGGGAGTGATATCGAGCATTGATTTGTGCATTTGGAGAAGAATAAAAATTACACCACAAGTTTCCAAGTTCAAGCAACCGTTTTCCCAAATGCTCTGTCATATGACTTGTCTTGGCGTCTCCTGGACAGGCGCAACTTCACTGCCCCGATTCACCGCGGTCATGTAAATCTTGCGTCCAATCAACGGTTTCTCCGCTACCAGAACAGGCGTAGGTATTGGAGGCCCGTCACCCCAGCCGCTCGACAAGCTGGAGTTACTTGAGCTGGTGGAGCTTCGCCAAGGAAGAATCAAGGATTCCTGGGAGACAGTTGAGAATGTTTGCTGTTCCGTAGACGACATTGGTGACAGTATGGGTGTATTCGAAGGTCTAGAAAGCCTTGACATCATCCCCCGTAAAGACGTTGTCTTCGGTTCCTTTCTCCCAATATACGGAGGGGGAGGCCAGCTCTCTACCCGGGCCTGTGCCATTTCTGCATTCCTCTGTCTTCGTTCGATTGCAGATTGAAAGAATGCAGGGATCGCGTAAGTCGCTTGCGGCTTCTCCTCTCTCGGTGCGAGTACGGTATCGGCTCTGACGGAGGCGCTCTGATCTAGTGCTTGTTGCGCTTGTGGACTTGGGCCCGTTCCTACGCCGTACCTACTGGATGTTGATGAGTCGCGGAAACCTGATGATCTGGGAGGTGGCTGACCAAGGGTTCGCTGGATCGGAGGTGGAGGTGGAAGTGACACCATGGGTGGATTAGAGGTCAGCGGAGGAAGACCTGGGCCTTCAGATCTATCAGGCCTGTCCGGACGAGGGGGGGCTGGTGCTTCTCCTATCACGGATTTCGCCTTTTCATTTCTACGGGCTTGGCGACGACTCCTCCACCTCCTGAAGAAGAAGAAGCCTGCAAACAGGCCAAAAAAAGCTGCATGTCACCAGCATATCAGTCACTGCTTTTACTTGTGCTCATCCCATGGATATCTCAAGTCTCCACTCACCAAGAATCAGAAAGACGATTCCAGCTGTCCTACCGGCGTTGTTTGAGCTGGTACTAGCTTGTGTAGGCGGTGGTGATGCGGTCGTTGCCGGAGCACCAGCCACTGATGAACTGGTAATCGATGGCGAACTTGATGGCAGTGGAATAATAGTGGATGATATCTTCGATGTCTCTGCAGCAAGAGGTGTGGTAGATGTTGAGGCACCTGTCACTGGAGGAGTTGGGGTCGAAGATAGAGCAACGCTCAACATCGATGTTACCAAGGTGGTCGGCTGTGTCGAAGAGGTCGGCGGTGGCAGTGGTGGTAGTGGGAGAGGGGAAGAAGATGGAAGGGTTGGTGTCGATGAAGGAGGAGCGGGCGCACTAATTGGCAGACTCGTAGTAGTTGCAGATGGTTGTGCTTGTGTCTGAGTCGCTGTCGCTGTGCTATGCTGCCCGGTTCTTGTTCTCGTGCATTTTTTCTCATCATCGTCATCATCGCAATCGTCGTCCTTCTCATCTGGCTCATTCTCATTTTCGTTGTCTTGCCTCGCTTGGAGAAGTTCTGTGGTATCCTTATTGCCTTGTCTTCTTCTTCTTCTCAGTAACTGTATCGTTCTGGTGAGCGGGAGACCTCTCGATAGGATCCAACCTGATAGTTCTTAGATAGAGGGAACTTGAAGCCGCACGAACCTTGACTATGGATGAAGACATTATGATAATCAGTCAATACAGCCCAGACCTACAGTTTTCTCGGTGAGTTTCCACGATTGGCTTTTTCTAAATGACAGAATTTGTTGGCGTCTCTTTGATCAATCGTGCCTGCACTGAATCGCAACCTACTTGTTACAGGCCTGCTGCAAGCGAAGTAGACCAAGAATCAGTCGAAGTAGATAGCATACAATTTTTCCACCTAGCGAGACATCGATGACTTGGCCTCCTTAAAGCCCCTGGCGAACATCGTCTTGTCGTTTGCTTACAGCGCCAAACAGCGTAGAGCCCTGGTCAAATGTTTCAAAGCTCAGCTCTACCGGCTTCCGGGGCGTGAGGCGGACCACGGAAAGCTTGTTTTGGAGCCAAAAATAATCTGCCGTGAGTAATCCCCGCCCAATACTGCGCCCGTGTTAATGACAGCATCGGGATGAAGAGTTGGGGTTGTTTCACTGCTCGGGGCCCCGCATAGCTCCCGCGTCTTTTATTTGACGGCGACATAGCCCCTGAGGTCTCTCCTACAACTTCCCGCGCCTGGCCTTACTATAGAATACGACACGACACGGGGACGGATGTAACTCGGTAAAGTGAGAGCCAGCTGAAGCTTGATCATGAGGCTCTCAGTGATTGATAACGGATTCAGATGAATTGCCGATTGGGTTGAGGTGAAGGCCTTCGGTGCCGTGCTCCGAAAGCTTGTGTGCAACCGAGAATCTGTTTACTACTCTGCTTCATTCCTTCTGCATGCGTTTTCAAGCAACATGATACCATTGTCGATAATAATCAGCCTTGATACCGGGCGTGCAATCTCGCGAGTCAATCATTTGGCTTTTGTAGGCTTTCATACAGGAAGAAAAGCCTATCCTGGCATGGCATTTATCCGTCTATGACTTTGTCTTATCAAAAGCTTGCTGAGATGCTTTGGTCGTGTGGGAATTGCGACATGGATGCCCACAAATTATCGAGGCGCCCACACCGTAATGTCAAATCTGAGAAAGCCTGAATGGCTTCTAGGGGGAATACATTCAGTAGAAGTATGCCACCAGTACGACTAAACGTGAGCAGCTTGAAGATATGTCAAATTCAACGTGACCTGCAACGCTTCAGTCCTGGAATCGCCTGTCGAAGAGTGCTGCAAGCTGGAGGAAAGTATACCCTAGGTCATAGAGCCATTGCTACAGATCTCCGTTGCTGACTTACTCATTTTCCTCTGGCTGATATCAAGGACGTAGATTCAAGGAGAAGTGGAGAGTATATGAATTGTCGCTAAAGTATAGACGATTACGATCCCACTGATTGTCATGATGTCGTCCCTAATCACTGCTTCCAATTCGAGCCAAGTCACCAGCCTAACAACGCTATAAAAGAAAGTGATATGGAACACTATTCAATTTATTTTTTCCATAGAACTTGACCCCAAAAGTTTTGAAAAAAGTAAAAGTCTCGCAACGAGCCTGGTCTCTTTCATATTCAACCTCGACGATGGAGCCTAGTCGTCCATGTCCGTCTGACCGGGGGCATCTACGAAACTTAGCATCATTCTGTTCATATGAGTAAGCGTCTTGCATCGTTCACATACCGTCTTCATCATCATCCATGTTCATAACGGCTGGTGGTGGTGGTGGCGGCGGTGGATTGGGATTGGGAGGCGGGTTGGGTGGTGGAGGGTTTGGCGGATTTGGTGGTGGGTTAGGTGGATTAGGAGGCGGATTAGGCGGATTGGGAGGCGGGTTAGGAGGGTTAGGTGGTGGTGGGGGAGTCTGTTGAGGACGGGGTTCTGTCTCGATGTTAGAAGATGAACATCTAGCCTCTTGGAGGAAACTCACGATCGTCATCGTCGTCATCCTCATCCCTTTGAGGAGGGCGCGGCGGTGGCGGGTTATTATCAGGCCGGGGCGGACCGTTCGGTGGTCTTGGTGCTGTGGTACCAGTTAGCAGTGAGACCCATTACCAAGTCTCAACAATGTCATTACTACTCACGATCATCTTCATCAGCATCTCGGATAAAGAGTCCTGCATAAGGAGACAAATTGTCCCGCTGCTTGATGTGATGGACCTTAGCGGAGAGTTCATCTGACCTAGCCATCAGAGGCCGAGGAGGCAGAGCAATAGCTGAGCCAAAGGACTCAATGAGGAGGACCCCAACAAGAGCCTCTTTCCAAAGATTGAGCATAATGATAAATATGGTTGCGGAAATCAGTTAAATTTCTTTGCGGTACAAGCCTGTTTGTCCAAGACAGCAATGAGACTGACCTTTCAAAGTACGGAGGGTATGAGAAGATCTAACCTCTTTATATCTATCAAATATTGACGGAAATGAGCACGTTCTCTCATGAACCGGAGCGGCTGCGCATTTGCCATCAACAGCAACGTTCCACCTCATGCCCCGAAAATAGAGCGGCTTCATCCTATCAAGGCATGGCTTAAAACCATGTACGGAGGGGTAAACTGCATGGAAACTTCTCAAAGTTCACAGAATGACGCGAGACGGCTGATGCTTTCCAGATCGACGAGGCCATGCAAAAGATGAGTGGACGATGCTCGACCGCCAAGTCAAAATGCCTAGCTTAATGAGTTGACTAGCTCCGCCTGCGCCATCTCGCAGCGAGAGGTGCGCACGTCATGTGAGTCTGTTCTCGCTTGTGCTTCAGATCTCTGCCGTGTTCATTGGACGATGCAGCTTTGGCGGCTGATGTGAAGCAAGGACAGGGATCAGATACCGTTTTACAGTAAAGGGGTAACTACGATAGGCTAGCTTGTCTCATGTCTTTCAAGAACCGTTGAGGCATGAATGGCTATCTATCGAACTCTGGCTTTCTCATCTGAGCATGTGTTGATTCTAGTTTGGACGAATACGATACGCTGGCAGTTGTGATGTCCGGGAACGATTTGCAGCCGAGTTCCATGTCAAAGGTAGAATACGACCGTAGTCGGCGTCCTAGAGTCCCGATGTAGAAAATAACTAACGTATTAACGAAGTGTCATTAAAAAAGATCATCTTCGACCTTGGTGTCTGCCGAGCGATTCCAATAGCTGTGTAGCCGGCAGATGCTGTCTACAGGTTTTATCCCAATCGATCCGAAAGCTGGGGTTTTCCCTGAAACGTGGCTAACTGCTTGGTGACCCCTCACGAGCTTGGAGAACTCTAGAGAGACTGGGTCAGACTGTAGCAAGAGTTTACCTCTGCGGGATAGTGAAAAGTAGCTCTTCGGCTGCTCCCGACACGCAATGTGATGAGTTTATGTCCGCATTTCCATGCCTTTGCGGGAATTTTAACCGCTAGTTCTTCTCTTAGCTTAGATCTTATCAAGTTTTAGCGACTGTTTTTCAAGCTTATTCGAACGTGGCAAACAACCTTAATTCCCATGTAGCTGATGAACTGATAATTGAGAGCTCAAAATACTACCCCAACAACACCTACGGTCTATTCAGCAGTTGTTGCCCACCAACGTGACGTGTCGAAAGGCTCATCACCGCAGCTTCGACTCATCACCACGGACAAAGTCTACGCTAAGTCCTCTCCATGTATTCGAATACCGTGCGTACTTTATGCGGCGCAGCTTCTTGGCTGAACGCGATCGGCCGAATTAGAGCAGAGCAGCTTTAGACTTTCGAACAACGTCAATGTTTCGCGTGTGAGAGCTATATGAACAGACTTGTAAGCTACGAGGCTTGGCTCATTCTCAGCTGCCATTACAACATTTGGAGATTCTTTATGGGACGATGGCGAAAGGTCGGGGGCCGGGTCATCGTTCTCGCCACGCAGAATTTGTGATTCGGGCTGGAATTTGGCATCTTGGCGTCTGTTCGTCTTTAAACTCTGAACAACTTCTCCGCATCAGCATAAACTTAGTGCAAAGTCAAAGTTTCTTCCCCCACTGTTTGAGGGCGAAGAAGGTCGAATGATCTTATCTGCGCCTTGATGATGAGGATGATGATGGCCGCGTTCTCACGTTGCGACCAATACCGTAGCCTGCGACCCCAGCTGCTCACGTTTCTATTATACGAGGTTTACCTCAACCAGAAATTGCAAAGAATCATAGCCTTGTCTTGACTTGGTCTCCACTGTGTCCGTCATCTTGCTCGAACTGATCCCACCGGAGCAATATTCACCGATCTTTGAGAACGGTTTTCAGTAACGACAGCCCAATTCTTGGCTCGCAGTAAATTGTGTTAACGTCCTTAATATGCCGACCTGGGCCACAGCCCTTGACCTGAGAAGCGGCGTTTGCCAGGCTCTGTACCAGTCTACCTGCGATGTTTCTGACCGCCAGGGCAAGACTAAGGGGCTGAAAGAGGTCCTCATATCTCTCTCTTCCTGCTGAAATCCCCATGTTTAGCTAGTTTGGAATCCATATGCGCCTGTGGAATGCATGTTCCCCGTTTCTCAGCTCAATTCTTAGGTTAAGAATATCGGAACACTTGAGGTCATTGCTCGTAACGCTCATGATATTCTCGAGAAGGATGGGTAGGAGAACGCTGTGCAGACACACGCCGCTAGGACAGTACGTCGCGCTGTACGGGTTCAGAAGGTCGGTGCCGTAAAGCACAAGGTACATTAGTTCTTTTGAAGCGAGATAGCGATAAGATGGCAGACTCTTCGTCAGTTTACATGCTGCGTCAAAAGATGCGGATGTTATGAAGTGACTTTTTGTGTCTAAGCAACGGGACAGTCATCTCCCTAGGTGTGACTTCAAAGAGACAGGCCTCGGTGCCCCTAGTTCGTCTTCAAAAATGGCGTACGCGTTATTTCTCTCTCTGAACGAATCTATCAGATGATGCTGAAAGTGTTAGGTGGGATCAAACAATCTTTACTGGACAGAAGGTGAAGTTGCGAAGTGAGTTAGCACCTTGGCACTTGGACGCAGCTTCTCTTGAATACACGGGGGTAACGATGGTATATTTCGCCTACTAGGCAAGTAGTGGACTTTCGAAAAAATGGTAGTAAGTCGCGTACCGGGCGCAACAACTACTGCCCCTTCTAACTCAGCTTTCGCAACCCACGTATCTTTGGATGTCTGATAAATCCGGGCTTCATCAGTTGACCTGGCTGCTTATTAGCTCCTCCCTGATCATGTAAAACAGAAAACTCACCACGGCTGCTTCAGATATCAGAAGCCTTGGATTGCGGGACTTTGCCACATGTGTAAAGCATCGTGGGCGATTACATCCCGTGGCATTAGACTTAGAGGACTTAATCAATATAGGGTAAGTATGTGTTACTAACAGACACCATGTTGATGATTTGATGCCGCATGACCATCGAGAGTAGCTTGATAAAATGTAACCTCAACATCGCTATCGCGTCTTATAGCCTGAGGTACGCGTCAACAACGCGCGTCCAAGGTGAGAGGTAAGCCCGGCAGGCGGGCTCGGAAGCACGAAGTCAAAGACAGGGGCGTGAGAATTCGCTACGTATCGGTGATTGATATCACCGACTGGCACCTGGATGACCTTCATTCGGAACGAAAATCAAGCATTCCGAATTATGCAAAGCTTGCTGTATTTTGAGGATGTGGACTTAGGCTTGAGTACAGTCTGCTCTATTGAAATGGGAATTATCGCATGTACGCCCCGTTTCTTTCGACTCGCAGCCTACCACTGATATTGTGCTTTGTGAATTCATTATCAGGGACGATGATCAAGCTTGGCTGACTGTTCAACTTTACGCTCAGCCTTTGACTCCCTCACTTGGACAGAAACCGGTTGCCTGCAGCCTAAATGTCACAGGACGGCGCCTTCGACATCTGGCCAACAGTCTCCAATCTTTCCGTCGCTCTGCACAGCCAGGACCACACTTCCCTCGCCATTCAGAGGACTTCCGTCCCAGACGACAAAGTCGCCAAGGACAGTGGTCTCGGCCAGTACGTCCCCAGACCCTTCTGGCGCTCGAAGATTGCCGTTCAGCCCGAGTATCTCGTCAAAGTTTGTTGACACTAGCTTGATGGCCTCTTTGTCCGTCAGCCCAGCGAATTTTGCGACCCAATGCGCCTCCTGGGCCAAGCCATGGACTTTGGAGTCGCCTCTGACCGCAAGAGCGACAAGAACACCAGCATCAATAAGGAATTGGGCAGGACTTGGTGAGAGAGGCGGGCCCGCAAATGAGGATTTTTTCTCCCACTTATCAGGCGCACCCCGGTTTCCAGTCAGAATGACGGGGATCTGAGCTTTTCTGAGCTCCTTCGCAATCTGGGTGTCATTGCTTCAGTTTTTCATCTTCCCAAAATGCAAAGATTGACTTACAAGAGGTGCTCCATGGCCACCAAAGATGACAAACCTCACGGCGGGAAACTCTCGCTTCAGGAGCACGATCTGCGAGATATCATCCTGCGAGAAGTCAATTCTTATCCGGCATATCCACTCAAATGGTAGAGTCGATCTGACAAACCTCGTTCACTGCATATACGACGACTGGAAGAAAGCCGTGAGAGGCGCGAGAGTACACACTACTTGGAGACTGGCCTTGATCCTTTCCCTCAAGAAGAATTTGACGCAGTCGCTCAACGCCGGAAGACACGGTTGGGGTATCATCGCCTGCGTGAGGGTTAATTGAACATAAGGACTCTTCAGGAGGCGAGTAACTTACCCTTGGCTTCTTGGCCAATAGCAAAGTGAAGAGCTACTTCGTCCTTCCAGATTCCGCCTCCCAATATTGTTGCGTTCTCGCTTGTCCGCAAGCCGACGCTCACGCCCTGAAGAATACCGCCTCCAAAGATCGGAGCCGTGATCGCCCTTGTTACACCACCGATTCTTGCTCTGCCGAAGCCCTTTCCACCGAAGTGAACACCATACTTAGCACTATGCAAGTGCTTCTGGGTATCAAGTGCATTCACCTTTGATCCTGGAGATCCGTCACCTGTTGACGGCTCAGAAGAAATGTCGAGAATGCCAAGATTGTTGCCGAAAGCTACCAGACCAGGGGTAACGTACCCGTTGGCTAGGTTAATCTCCACGATACTGTCATGTTGGATGGTGGACCAACACCTGGACTCGACATCTAGACAAGTGATACGACCGTTAGAAACCACCAGGGCAAGGCCTTGCCCCTGTTCGACGGCCAAGGTGACCGCAGGGAGCTGATTCTCCAAAAGAGAGCTCTTGATGCCGGTGAAGAGAACGTTTGCTCCCGGGACTGTGGCCCGATTACAAACATCTCGCTTCTTTTCCTGCAAAATATACGGTCGAGCCTCCGGTACAACGTTATTCGTTGGTGAAACCTGGATTTTTAATCGTTGAATAGAGTCTTTGATGTCGAGAACCTCCCTGCCATCGACATACACTTGAACGGTTGTAGCCCCAACTGAAAGAGGATGAGAATCCCAGACAACCAAGTCCGCATCATACCCGGGTTGCACGAAGCCGATTCGATGACCTTGATAGATGGACTGTGCAGCAACAGAGGTTACGGACTGCAGAGCTTTGTTTTCGGACAAGCCGAACGAGTGGGAAACAGCAGCTTGGTACATGAGATACTTGGCATGATTGCTTTCACCAGTATGGTCCTACCAAAAATATACCCCCATTTTTTAGTCAAAGATCCTGAACTTCATGCGGAAACGATGATTACTAACCGACTTCAAAACCACGCGGATGCCATGATCATCGAGAATCTTGGGCCCTCGAAGGTTCGCGCCGTAGGCTTCATGCTTAAAGAGCGAGTTCTCGGCAAAGGTGGCAATAGTGATGTTTCTGGCCAGTGTAAGGACGTCTTCCCAACCTCACAGGGCGGAGGTACTCACTCTTCCTGCTGCTTGAGAAACTCAGGAACCTGCCAAGCTTCGAGAGCATGATGGAAGGCCTGCGGATGAACCCCAAACTCATGGAGCACATCGAGCATTCGCTCAAAGTCTTCGGGTTCATAGCAGTGGATGTTGACGTTGAACTCTCCTCTGAGAAGAGCCACCGTTGCGTCTAGTTCCAAATCTTCCGGTCGCTCGCCTACTTTGTTCACAAATCGGGACACTCGGCTTTCTTGCCATAGACCACCGGACTGGAGTTGCTGAGCTCTTTGGCACCAAGCTTCCTGCTTCGACTTGAGCTTCTGTGCCTTTTCCAAGTGCTGTCTTAGAAGCCAAACATTGCCGAGTCGGGTATGCCCATACAGGTGCTTCGGGTTCTCGCCACACGCCATCTTTAGATATCGCTGATGACGCGATTCAGGAATTCCATGCTCGAGTAACAATTCTTCGACAACTGGTTCGCCATTTTCACCAGGAAGCGGTAGATTCTTTACCAAGTACCCTTGGCCACCAATAATGTTGCCAGACCCCGGCAAATTCAGAGAGGATGTGACACCGCCGGACGCAATGATCTTGATCGCAGGATCATATGGCTTGAAACCGTCAATCGCACGGACGAAAGGAGTAATGGGACCAAGTCCAGGCTTCTCATTTACGTCTGCGATTGCTGAGACCGAAGAGAAAGGGAGTTCCAAATGGTGAGAGTGGATGTCAACGAGACCTGGAGTAACAAATCTCCCTTTGAGATCATACACAACCGCATCGTTTGGGAAAGTCGCCTGATCCCGTGTCTCAGACACTGACTTGACAACTCCGTGCTCAAACGAAATATCGACGGTCGCCGCAAGGACCTTCTCCCCATCAAAGAGAGTTGCGTTGCGGAGCACAATGGCACGCTGCTGTCCAGACTTTGAATTCCAGCGCGGATTTGACCGATTCGGTGACGGCGAATCTCGGCTCGCGCTTCGCGAGCTATTCTCACCACATTTGCTCAGTCCTCTGGACAATTGCTCTGGCTGGCTGTGCGAGGGCTCCTGAACAGCATTGCTGTAATGAGACAAGAAAAGTAGAAAAGCGACAAGTCCCGCGAGAGTGATTAGACGTCCTCGGCGTCTTCGAATCAAGAAGCGTCGAGTTGGTGGCTGCGCTCGATACGGAGGGGGGCTTGCGTCGAACAGCTCTTCGTTTTCGGCGCCCATCGCGACTTGGCCGCTGATTCAATGATACGACGGGCCTTTCTACTCGAAAAAGATAGGCAGATAACAACGGATTTGATTCTAGTCAGACTTCGCATCACAAATACTCAAACTCGCTACGGAAACCGATTCTCCTCAAGCAGCTCGACTTATTGTCATTGGGGTGACTTTGTCCCGACGTCGGGGTGGATTGGGGATAAGGCTTGGCAGCTCTTATTCCCAGAGGCGTCAACGTGGAGATAAAGCACGTCAGCCGGAGGCGGCCCACTTGGGAACTCGACTGCATGATACGAGTAATCCTATCCTGGTCATGGAGATTGAGATTGCCACCCTTTCCATGGCATATTCGACGTATGTTGATTGGGGACACTGGTGCTCTAGACGTAGGGCGTTGTCAAGAACGAGAATTTCCCTTTAATTTAGGAAGTAAATTGCAACTGGCATATTCAGCGAGTCAACGTGAGATCAGCAACCGGCTGAATCACCGGATGTCACAGCTGAAGAGCTGAAGCCTAGAAATCGACACCGAGATTGTCATTTCCATAACACTCAAAGTTCTGTTCTCGATCGTTTCTAGGACTGCGGCCTTTGCCCGACTATAAGCATGTAGTCGGGTCTACCCCGACAATTAGACCGGCTTCGAGTCTCGAACACAATATTCCAAAGCCCCATAGAATGATGGACATCTGTGACCTGTCAAGACACCTTTCCGAGTAGGTCTCGTTCGCCGTAGCCGTCATTCTGGTTTCTAATGGCGCCACGAGGTACCCGCCCACTTCCCGCCGACCTTATCCCTGCAGAATCCCGGCAATCTGGTGTTCAACGGGTCGAATGGGGACTTACAGCGGGAGGTTGATACTGATTAAGCATACTGGTACGTAACCAACATGCCTTCACCGGAGCCGATTGAAGAAGCCGTTCAGATGTCAGCGCGTTCAAAGGAACGGCAGTAACCGAAACCGAGCATCTTATAAGATTCATAAGCATTTCAGGATATGGCGCGAGTATCAAGAGTGTAACGGCGTACCTCATTGGGTGTGGACCTCGGTAATGTGACGCCTTTGGGTCATTTCGCCCGAGATATCTTTGCTGTTGCACGCAAGCTTTGAAGAAAAGCTACCTTACTTGACCGCATGTCCGGCGCGTCCTTTGCGGAGTTAGGACACGGAGGATCTGGGACCACCCCACGGTCGAGATTCTGGAATGAACAGCCGGTTGCGCCAAGCAGACCAACGCGGGACCAGATGTATCCTGCCAACATCCTTCCTTAGCTCAGAATACATCCAGGCAACGCAAAGACCCCGGACGTTGACGCCACTGACTGCCGGCCTAGTTAAGGTCGTGATTTTGCTCTGTTCAAGACGCCGATAAAGATAAGATGCTTCGGACTCTATTTATCTCTATCCCGTCGGCTATCTTCCTGGAGCGACACATTCTCTTCTTGACTCCAAACCTCATGCACATGTTGGTAATGAAACTTTTTGTCTAGTCACGGATCACTATGGGTACACTCAATGAGAAGACGGGAGACACCATCGATGTGGTCTCACCTGCAGATGCAAACCTTCAGGTTTGACCTACTTTGATCGAATGCACAGATCAGTCAATCTGATATTTTGACAGAGAGAGAGTTTCGATGAAAAGGTGTCCATCGACGATGTAGCGAGGTACTTACTTGAGTTCCGCAGTGGCCTTTACGACAGGCAATCTCAAGTCACCGGGAATGCTGACAATTCACAGGCAACTCAATGCCACCCCCGAAGAAGTCCTCGAAGCCAGAGAACTTTCGCGCTCCCTATCTCTCGAGGAGGCCAAAGAGGTATGCAGTCTTCAGCTACCACCGATGTGCCCAGGAAGCTTCAATCTCTAACCCATCTCAAAGTCGGCCGAGAGACTAGTGCAACAGCATGGCCTCGACCCCAACTTCCCGGCAGGAGCCCTCGAGCGTCTGAAGGAGTTCCTCGCCAACGAAGAAGTTTTCACCGACCCGGATTCGCATAGTCGTGAAATCTCAGAGACTAAGATCGAAGTTTCCCTGTTGACTACCAACAGCCCCTACGCCGAAGTTCGCGCTGTAGTCGATCCTCATGACGATACTAGCATGCCAGTCGCCACGATCCGTGCCTGGACTATTGGTCTCTTCTTTGTCGTTTTTATCGCCTTCATTAACCAGCTCTTTAGCGTGCGGCAGCCTTCTATCACGTTGCGCGCGGAAGTTGTACAACTCCTCGCGTATCCAGTGGGCAAAGCTGCCGAAAAATGGCTTCCCGATGTTGGCTTCACGCTCTTTGGCGTTCGACACAGCCTCAATCCCGGACCATTCAACAAGAAAGAGCATATGCTCATTTCGATCATGGCAAGTGTTGGGAAGACCCTGCCGAGTTCCAGATACATCAGTGAGTTGTTCTCTACAATTGCTGTACACCAATTGGGCCGCCCATTGCTAAGAGGATCTCAGTCTTTACGCAGTGGATGGATCGGTACTTTGGCCAGAAGTATGCCAAGTCTTTCAGCTATCAGATCCTGCTGGCTCTTTCTACGAACCTGATGGGATTTGGACTGGCTGGTTTGTGTAGAAGGTTCCTAGTCTACCCATCTTTCTGCCTCTGGCCAGCCTCTCTAGTCACCATCGCTTTGAACAGCTCGTTGCACAACGGTATGATATCGTTACGAGACTAAACATATGACGTTGGATGCTAATGGCCCCTACAGAGGCAAATCATCCGGTCCCCGGTCCTTTCAAGAAGATATACAACATGTCGCGGTACCGATTCTTCATGGTTGCTTTCGCCGCCATGTTTGTGTGGTTCTGGTTCCCCGATTACATCTTCGGTGCACTTTCGCTATTCAACTGGATTGCTTGGATTGCTCCCAACAACTTTACACTCACTGCCATCACCGGTGTGAACAAGGGTCTCGGCTTTAACCCCATCCCGACTTTTGACTGGAATGTTGCCACACACGTAGTTCAGCCTCTTGTTGTCCCTTTCCGTGTCACCTTCAATACCTTCATCGGCGTGTTTTTGGGCGGTATCACAATCATCGGGCTCTACTGGACCAATGCATACAACACTGCCTACCTTCCTATCAACTCCAATCTGATGTACAATCACTTTGGTGGCTCATACAACGTTTCAAAGATCTTGGATGGCAGAGGGTGGCTCGACGAAGCCAAATACCAGGCGTACTCCCCTGTGTACCTCGCAGCTAGTAGTATCACTATGTACTACTATTTTTTCGCCGTATATGCCGCTACTGTGTCTTACGCCATCCTCTATCATCGCCACGATATCGCACTTGGTTTCCGGAGTTTGTGGCGCAGCTTCAAGAAAGAGGCTTCGACAGATTTCAAGGATGTTCACACAAGGCTGATGTCCAACTACCCGGAAGGTATGTCTGAAGCTGATTCGAAAGATAAAGTAGTACTGACATCCCTCTTAGTTCCTGAATGGTGGTATCTGATTCTCAATCTGGCCGCCATTGCGTTCGGTGTTGCAGCAGTTGCTGCATGGCCGACCGAGGTAAGTCAAACAACCCATAGCGCTGCTGTCGTTCTGTTGTTGGTGCTCAGTGACTAACCATTTACCAGACGAGCGTGGGTGTCGTGTTCTTCGGTATTGCACTTGCCCTGGTCTTTGTTATTCCGACAGGCATCATCTTTGCTACCACTGGAATGGAAGTCGAATTCAAGTAAGCAAACCTAACTTGTGGATGCATTTTTTTGGCAGTTGATGTAAGACTAACACTGTACAGCGTCCTTGCTGAGTTCATTGGAGGTGCCTGGGAGCCGGGCAATGCCTTGGCCATGAACTTTTTCAAGTGCTTCGGGTAAGTCCATGGCCTGTTGTCATCTTCTTTACTCCAGTACCCATCAACTTACGAGACTCGTAGTTATGTCACCACGGCTCATGCTCTTGATTTTGCCAATGACTTGAAGCTGGCTCACTACCTGAAGATCCCACAGAGACACACCTTCGCCGCTCAAGTGGTTGCCGTCTTCGTCTCAGCATTTGTCTGCACTGGCGTTATGAATTTTCAGATCAGCAATATTCCGGATCTTTGCTCAACGTTAGTATACTGCGTAACATCATACTTGCTACGGTCGGACGACTGACGTGAATTTCTACCTACAGGAACCAAAAAGACCGTTTCACTTGCCCTGGCGTAAACACCTACTTTACTGCTGCGGTGCTGTTCGGTAGTCTGGGTGCCCGAAAGGTCTTCGGCTCTGGTGGAATCTACACAGCCCTACTCTCAGCGTTCCCGGTCGGATTTGCGCTTCCTTTTGTTTTCTACTACTTCCAGCGCAAATTTCCTCGCACCCACTGGTTCGCCAAGATCCACCCAGTGATGATCCTCAGCGGTGGTATCAGCTGGTCTCCTGTAAGCTTTTTCAGCGATTGGTTCACGGTGGTTTCTGTTGCTAACTTCAAGTCAAGTACAACATTGCTTACATGTGGCCGGCCGTCCTGCCCGGCTGGCTGAGCATGGTGTACTTCCGCCAGCGCTACCTTGCGTTCTGGTCAAAGTACAACTACGTCTTGTCGGCGGCTTTCTCTACTGCCATTGCCATTGCTGGTGTGATTATCTTCTTTGCCGTCAGCTATCACGGCTTTGAAATTAACTGGTGGGGTAACGATTCGGAGAGTGGGTGCGAGTCTACTGCCTGCACGCTGCTGAAGCTGCCCAAGGGGGAATATTTTGGACCGCGTGTTGGAACTTACGCGGGCTAGCGAATTTGGAAACCTTTCATCGAAAGAATGCAAGCCGTCCAGCGAGGCAAGATATTTGTACGGGCTCATACATACTGTGTAGCAAATCTTGGTGCCACGGCATGCTAGCGAAATAGAAGTGACTCTTCTCACAGCCCAAAGAGGGTCAGATCATCAGTCGTGGACCCAGCCTAACATCATCAAGGAAGATACTTGAATTGTAAGCAGACCACATCCTTCATCAATACGCGACCTGCGATGTATGAGGCCTATGCAGCTTGCAGGCCGTAAGGCGTCGAGCTTCAACCACAATCAGGCCATGACTCGGTCAGCTCACCGAAAGCTTAGCCCTCTGGCGAGATTACACTTTGACCCCGGCCGTCAACCAGAACGGGGGACGATGAAACTCTATCGGCGACCGCCAATCAGCACAGTTAAATGGTAACCGAACACTGGTTTCTTGGAAAGTTAGTTTAAGCCATCGCATACCTCCTTTGACGTCAGCCCCTCTTCTCCTCGATTCACAACACCTCTAGGTCGAGTCCAGTTGAAAGGGTCCGGCCAAGGTGTCGCTCAGCTCCACCCTCCCCTTCTGCCGGCAGAAATATAGCAGTAGCTCGCATTCGATATCTCGCGTCGCGCGCCCTTGCCGCGCCGCCGAAAGCCCCATTGTTCGAGCCCGGCGTGTCCGGCGGACTGTAAGGTCTCGTCAGAGTTTGTTGCCATGAGCTGTGGCCGTTCTCCACCCGGTACCTCCGGATCCAAGTCACGGCCATCCGTCCAAGCTAAGAAGAGTTGCACGCCTTGCAGGTAAGTCCGAACATTTCGTCGCGATATTACATAGGACGATATGAGAAGGACTCGAACTAACCTGATCTCTCAGGATCCATAGAGTCAAGTGTGATGAGACAAGGCCAGCCTGTCGGCGGTGCAGCATCACAGGCAAGATCTGCGATGGCTACGGCGGTGAGGGTGGCGGCCCAGCGGCCCGCAGACCCTCACTGACACTTCTCCAGACCTCATCATCATCTCCATCGCGTTGCGACACACATGCGGGCTTAGCGGAGCTAAGCTGTACAGATAAACTTCACTTCGAGTGGTTCGTGAGCCGGACCACGAATCAACTGCCTGGCGTCTTCAATTCGCCGGTCTGGAAGACCTTGGTGCTTCAGGCTAGCTCAACAGAACCTGCCATCCTCTATGCTATCCTCGCTCTGGGTGCCGCTCACGAGACAACAAATCCCGACGCATGCATTGTCAAACGGGAGCCGTTAAGTCCCGAGATAGCGGACCCGCAGGAACATCTCAGCCTGCGATACTACAACAAGTCCATCTACCACCTTCAGAAGCATCTGCGGACACCCAGTACAGAATCAATACGCGTCGTTCTAGTTGTCTGCACAGTCTACATATGCATGGAGTTCATGCAAAAGCGATACAAGACGGGATTCCTTCATTTCAGACACAGCCTCCAGCTTCTTGGAAGCTTGTTGAAATCTTCTGCTCCGACATCATCATGCGATCCAGCAGACGATTGGTTCGTCGACGTCATACCTCGACTAGATATCCAAGCGACTCTTCTCACAAACGAGTTCTACCAAGGTGCCGGCACTAAACATACCTCATCCATATGGCCGCCACTGCGGCAGCTATTCCAATCAGTTCGGGACGCCAGCCAAAGCCTCGACGGCCTCTTATTCAGAGCGTACCAATTGCAAAAAGACGGTGCCGCGGCCGGACCAGCAGAAGATGCAGCCGATATCTTTGAGCTGCTCGCTACACAGCAGACCCTTCGTAACGAGCTAGAATCCTGGATCCAAGCCTTTGACGTCTTCAAGGCCAGGACATGGAACTTCGTCACAGACCGAGAGAGGGTCGCCTACGGGCCTCTGCCGATTTACCACACCATGGCATACATCATTACCAATACTTCTCTCAATCCTGGAAACGAGCTTATCTTTGACCTATACACGAGTCACTTTGCGTCGGTTGTAGCTTCGGCGAGGCAGCTTCTTGAGGCGACATCATCTGCAACCATGCCGACGCCTGCTGCTGAATCGTCCCCAGAAGATTGTACGAATCAAATTGAGCACGCTTCAGACACGGGTTTGGTTCCGCCATTGTTCTTCACAGCTGTCAAGTGTCGCGTGCCTAGGATAAGGCGTCAGGCATTGGAACTTCTTCTAGCATCTCAACGGCATGAGGGAATCTGGGATGCGATACTATCCGCGCGGATAGCAAAAGAAGTGATGGTTCTCGAGGAGCGGGGTCTCTATGAAGGCGATGTTGACGAGAAGAGGGCTTCCCCAGATTTTGTGATCCCGGTTCTGCCGGGGCCGCCCAGGATACACAAGCTTTGGATCGAGGTGCCGGAGGAGCCACGCGGTGATATCCTGCTAAGCATCCAGAGGATCTTTCCCGAGGGCAAACGGGAGACTTTGGGAAGGCGGTTTCACGCGGAGCATGATTATTGGACTTCTGTTCCTGTAACACTACGTGTCGCTAAGGTCACTGAGTAGGCCAAGTAGGGAAGGCACTGCTCTAAAGCGGTCTGGAGAGAGGAGTTGCGAATACCCTTTGTACTATTATTAACCCAATGCGATCAGTGCCTCTTCTGAAACGGATACATATTCAGCGCATATCTGTGAACGCTTTTGGCCTGTCATCTCCAAAGCCTGCTTGGCCCATGCCTTGGTGAGAGGCCATCTCGTATCTGGCATTCATGCTGGGGGCGGAAATTTCATACAAGCCATGCCCCTAAACTGGCAGTTCTGGCCGCCACTGAGAAGATTGGCCATACTGATACTGTTGTTGCTGAATCCCATCAAGGCTGTGCTTCTCATCTCCTGTGATCGGGGCTCTCCTCGCTTGTCGTCTACGGCACAAAAGCCACCCAATCGTGCCCATGCCGAACACTGCAGCAAAAGTAACTCCAACCGCAATGCCTGCTGCAGCCCTCACCGATAAGCCTTTCTTTTCCGTCGTCGGCATTGGTGTTGCTACAGAGGTACTGCTTGGTTGGGGTGTTGCTTGGGCTTCGGTGATGTTGAAATAGTGGCATGTCACGCCCCAGTTTGCCGGTTCTTTGCCTGGCCCGAGTAACTCGAAGAAGTAGAGGTTGCTAAGTTTCGGATTGGGGAAGTCTTCTATGGAGACTTCCCAGTTCATTGACTTTGCAGAGGTGCTCACTGAAGCCGGGCACTCAATGTCAGCCATGGCACCGTGACTTGTAGGCTTTCCCTCGCTTCGCCCATTGAGTCTTGGCTTCGGAAGGTCATGCGACTAACCTGCGACGTCGATGTAGTCTAAAGTGCTCCCGCCTCCCACCGACTCTTGCCATAATATCAAACTAGCAGAGTCGTAGTCCATGTCCCAGTGGAGATCTATATTGTCTCCTATTGTGTAAGCGTTGTTGTCTCTATAGTCATAGGCGAGACCTGGACCGGGTGGCCGACGAAATCGGTTTTCGGCGGCGACAAATGCGGTAAAGAGCAAATAGAGAAAATAACACAGGCGTGGAAGAGCCATGTTGGTCAGTTGAGAGGTTCTTGGCGGAAATTACTGCTGTGATGCGTGAAGCGATTGCCGATTCACTACGACAACGAGGCTCAATTTTGAACTAACTTCAGGTTGAACGACGGAAGGATGAGACATCCGGGAATTAGCATCACTTATCAAAACCATTCACCAACGCGGAATCACGAAGGATGTTTGACCCTGCTACGCAAAATAAGCGCTAACTATGTGCGACTAGGCGGCTGCAATGAGATCTCACAGCCCCAACTACTACCCTGTACGAAGGATCTGCCCCCAAGCAACCCCATTGGCAGACCTGTCGCGCGCTGCAGTCCAGATGTGAGGCAGCAGCGTGCTTTCTCCCGAATTAGATGGTTTTCAGCCGCTCAGTCGATCTTGTTTGATAGGACGGCAAGCGAGGAGGTAAAAGAAAAGTTATTTGAATAATCAAAGATCCATGTTCCTTTCGGAAGCTCGATTCGATTCCCATGTGTCCCACTCTAGATAGCAGTTGCTTTGCCATGAGAAAATGCAACGGTAAGCTCGGGATCTCCACATAAACAGGTTAAGATTCTGACCAAGCTTGATTAGACCATCGTTCCCGTAACCCATTGCTCTTTGGAAGTTGGAGTCTTTGGGGGTTCAGATCGAGTGCCTGCAGTGCCTTGCTCGACGCCAGTCACGGCCTTTGAGTGGCGATGGTGAGTTAGGCTGCTCAATTCGCTGAATCTCGCTTCGACTGCGCCTCTCTTGGCCATGACCAAGCCTCAGCCAGATCGTTCGGAAACTTGAGGAGATTTACTCGAATTGTTCTTGCCTGGTCGACGGGCTATCTTGTGGCACCCGGCTCGCTGGCTTTCTAGCTCAATGTTTTCTTGCTGACAACACGCCAGAAAAGCAATTCCAAAAACTTTTATTCTTTCACGTGCGTAGTAGTCGACATAACCTTCCGAAGTACCTATCCAATTCAACACGTCGGGCAGTCTGAGTCTACCCTGGTATTACACAGGGTTACCAAATTTATCGGTCTTCTTTGCCTTGGAGGTGAAGCACTCGTCATCTGGCCCACAGCCCTGCCAGTTGAAAGATTCTCCAGGCGAGAAGCATGCACTGTCGCAGTTCTGCTTCTTGCAGAGCCCATGCGCCTCATCACCACCAACCCAACCATCATCTTTAGCACCGTTGACTGTTCCTTCTATCGCATGCCACTATTTGTCATCAGCACCTAAGCAACCTAACACAATGTCTTTTGAGGGAGAGAACACGTACGTAAGGGCCGCTGTACGGCGCGCCGTGAAGCTCATCAGAAAACCAATTGCCTCCAGCTAGAAGATTTTATTAGAGACGATCAAGTTTAACAGCTGAAAGGTAAAGTGTCTTACCATAAACAAATCGTCCGTCGTACGCGTTGACAACTGCTTTTGTTGCTTCGTCATTGATCTGGACACCGACAAGACCCTGGTCGCTAATACAGGCGCAAAGGCGGTGCTTGTCAGCGCTGACACGCGCCACCCTGGGATCAATTAGCTCTCAATTTCAGTCGCGTGTGAAATGCCAGCTTACATAATCGAACCCAGCAGGCAAAGATCTTTCAACAATATGATGGTCTCGGGGTACTAAAATTATATGTCAAGTCGATTAGGCGTAATGATAAATAGTGTCTAAGATAGAAGCTGTGAATGAGGATGTGCAGCAAAGTACGGGCGCTGATTGTGGCGAGATGAAGACAGATTCCAAAGCTCAAGTATGTTTATATGACTTTGAAAAGATACTCTCTCAAGTCCTGCATACCCCTTCAATGGCAGATGGCTGATAAGATGTCGGCTTCCCCGACCTCTGGAGGCGTGAAAGCTCGCTTTCGTTAAAAGCTCAGTATGTCGATACGTTTCTAGAATGAAGATCATGAAGAATTTGCTTTTCCCCAAAGGCTCAGGTTAGTAATCCAAACTCTGATTGATTGAATAAATTGGCATGGCTTTTAAGTTTCCAGGTACCGTAACCCCAAATTCCTGATAGGGAGAAATGTCATTCCAATGTTCGTAAAATAAAAGGGGCCTGTCCCGAGTCATATTCTTTCCACAAAGTCTGGAGAACAATCTATTCGGACCAAAGATCGCTGCCACTCTGCAACGGCCTTGTCCGGGAAATTGAGTCTTCTCTTTGAGCATGACTAGCGCCGCAGCATGGCCTTGCCGTGACGCATTCATGGTCTAAAAACAACCATACCAGTGGGCTGAAAATGCCTTTCTACCTGATCCGGACTGCTACCTCATACCTACTTCGTACTTGCTTGGTCTTGGCTCTCTGCCTTCAAAGTTCCAAGGGATTGAATGCGTCTACACGATACACATGGTCTTTTCCTTCTACCCAGTATCCGGCCAAGTGAAAACAATGACTCCAACGTGTCTTATCTGTCTTACCATCACATCGTGGACACTCCGGGTCTGATCCGTGTGATCAATGGCCTGTCGCGGGATCGGCGGAACGCATTGGCTCCCTACTTGCGATTCGCAGGATGAAGCCTACTTATCATGACCCAGGCGACTAGAAACCAGAGAGTGATGAAAATGACTTTTATTCCTGGCTCTTCAACTGTTGTGGGCCAGAAAATTCACGTCCCAAATGAAAATCCTGTAAAAAGTGCCATCAAACTACAACGCGATGACTTGTAGTAACGTTCTCCTCCCCAAAAAACAAAGCTGTATGAATTATAGCTTGATTGGCAGGTGTGCGGATGGCATGCCACTTTTGCCCACTCATTGGACTACCCTTTCATATCAACGTCTTTGGTAAACACTCCATTCCACTAGCACGCCTAAGCTCTCAACCCTGGAGCCATTTGCACGATAAAGGCTTGAGGAGATTTGTGTATTTTGACGACGACTGTGGACTCACCGACTCCTTCGACAAATTTGGTTCAGACTGCACACTCCGGAGGGGCAGGGATGGAAACCACGATGAATTCATCAGATACATAGGAGCTGTAATGCATTGGAATCATGGTTCGAGTGGGTTCAGCTGAACTGCCGAGTTAATTTCTGACAATATTTGTCGTGCCTTTTCAACGATATCAGCAATTCCCCCCTCTAGACTCAACAATATTTAATTGCGTTTCTTGATTTAACTTGCCAAAAACGTCAAAACCACCACAGGTAATTGTCGAATGTGTTTCATGGATCAGCAATATTACATCACAGTTATTTTGAGCGACCACCTCTGGAACAGGCAACAGTTCAGTTAAGAATTCGAGGAGATAATTCAGAGGCTTCACAAGCAGACTTCATCGTTCGATTCCACTCGTGGAATAGACCAGCTTGTCTGCGTAGAGTGCTTTTGATTAGGTGGTGCGCAGTAAGGCACCTATACGGACAACCTCACGTCTGTAGGGCAGAAATTGTTTCCTGTAGATGAGAACCTGGTATGGCTCTTTATCAGAAAGGAGACTTTCACCTGTTTGAGATGAAGCAAGGGGCAGAAGTTTGGTGATTCAATACAGGTAGCAAACTCTTTGAAGTTGTACAACCACTGATATACCCCGAGCATTGTTCTGGACAGCAATCATTCACCGTTTGTTCTCTTTCGGCAGTAAAGTTTCTTCATACTTGCAGAGCTAAGCTTAAAGCAAGCACCCAGTGTGTGTCGAAGACAGTATCCCAGGCGGTGAAGTGATTATTCCCAATAATCACTGTTACACGTGACACCGCCCATATACCGGCCCTCTTGAGCCTGCTTTCCCATATGCTCCTTCTCACTATTGTTGGTTCATAAAGTATGCCGCTGCCTGCGGTCAAATAGATCGTTTACTTACAGTTTATGCGAACGTTATCCCAATATTAAAAAAAATTTAAAAAACGTTACCACAGGAGGAGGATTTGTCTTCCTTTCAAATTCTCTCGCCCTTTCCTCCCACTTCTTTCTGCCAAATACTCATCTTCCCTTTCACATCAACCTTTCTGCTCTCCTTCGTCAAAGAAAACTCAGTCCTTTCCCCAAAACCCTCCGA